TTGATTGAGAAAGGGATGGGTGGAGTCTGGAGATGTTGCGTATGTGGAAGAAGGCAGTCCGGGTGATGTTATTTATGTGAGGTGAAAATGAGAGGGAGCTGTCCAGGATGACACCAAGGCTCTTAACTTGGCCAGAAAAGGGGATGGAGTAGCCATCAATGATGAGGTTGGAGGAAGGGGAGGATGAGGTTTTGGAGAGGGTGGTTTTGGTGCCAACCAGCAGGGCTTCGGTTTTGCTGCCGTTGAGTTTTAGGAAGTTCCTGCTCATCCAGCTCCTGATGTCCTGGAGGCAGTTGGTGAGAGAGGTTGGGGGGAGGGCAGTGTTGGGTTTGCTGGAAATTTAGACCTGGGTATCGTCGGCGTAACAGTGGAAATGGACATTATGATGACGGAGGATAGTGCCAAGGGGGAGTAGGTAGATAATAAACAGGAGTGGACCCAATACTGACCCCTGAGGAACACCATGTGAGACAGTGGAGCAGCTTGACCGGTGGGTGCTGAGACGGACATATTGTTTTTCTGTCTGTGAGGTAGGATGAAAACCATGAGAGTGCAGTACCAGTGATCCCAATGTCTGCCAAACGTTTGATAAGCAGTGCGTGTGAGATGGTGTCAAAGGCAGCTGTGAGGTCAAGGAGGATTAGGATGGTGAGCAGTCCAGAGTCAGCTGCACGGAGGAGGTCGTTGGTGATTTTTACCAGCGCTGTTTCGGTGCTGTGCTTTGAGCGGAAACCCGATTGGAAGGGTTCATGAAGGTTGTTTTTGTCCAGGTGTTGTTGAAGTTGGTCAGCAACCACTCTTTCAAGGGTTTTTGAGATGAAGGAGAGGTTAGAGATGGGCCTGTAGTTATTCAGGTCATCTCGGTCAGCTCCAGGTTTTTTGAGTGTTGGTGTTATTGCAGCAGTTCTGAGGTTTGGCGGTACAGTTCCAGTTGCGAGGGACGAGTTAATGATTCTTGTGATCAATGGGCAAGTAGAGGGCACACAGGTTTTAACGAGGGCAGTGGGGAGTGGGTCGAGCTGACAGGTAGTAGGTTTGGATTTACGGATAAGCTCAGTGATGGAGAACTCAGTAGTCTGTAATGATACCACAGAGTATTTAGATGATAAATTATAAGCAAGTTCAGGAAAGACAGCAATCTGTTTGGCAAGTGGTATATTAGGTAAAGTTGAATGCCATCAAAATCCTTTACTTTCACAATTACTTACTAAAATTATCAGAAAAAGGTCATAGACTTAAATGTAACTGTTTATCAGATTCAACATGTTGTTCATCCTGCCTTAAAATCCAACCAATCATAGTCATTACTGGTTTGGTTCACTGTAACCATTCTCTCTATGATTGCTCAAATGATTCATCATTTGAGGCCAGAGAGAAATCTAGTGGCTTGTGATTCTCAAAGTAATTGTTTACAGGAATATAATCAGATTATTTCAAGTGGTGCGCAACAAACTGTCCTATATGTAGGGATTATAAATCATGCCCATCGAACTAAAGTTTTAAGATGTCTCTTCTCTATCCTTCAACAGGATATATTTTAGCAGCATTGCTTGATCATAATCTTGTTTTGAGACGTTCACTTTGCAAAGGGTTTATTACTTTGAGGATGTCAATCTTCTATTTCTAAAGTTAATACAAATACCAGTCCAACAAAAAGTTCTCTAGTAAAAAAATATCAAAGATGCCCCTATTACAGTGGGGCAAAACAGTATTTAGTCAGCCACCAATTGTGCAAGTTCTCCCACTTAAAAAGATGAGAGGCCTGTAATGTTCATTTTAGGTACACTTCAACTATGAGAGACAGAATGGGGGGAAAGAATCCAGGAAATCACATTGTAGGATTTGTAATTAATTAATTGGTAAATTCCTCGGTAAAATAAGTATTTGGTCACCTACAAGCAAACAAGATGTCTGGCTCTCACAGACCTGTAACTTCTTCTTTAAGAGCCTCCTCTGTCCTCCACTTGTTAACTGTATTAATGGCACTTGTTTGAACTCGTTATCAGTATAAAAGACACCTGTCCACAACCTCAAACAGTCACACTCCAAACTCCACTATGGCCAAGACCAAAGAGCTGTCAAAGGACACCAGAAACAAAATTGTAGACCTGCACCAGGCTGGGAAGACTGAATGTGCAATAGGTAAGCAGCTTGGTGTGAAGAAATCAACTGTGGGAGCAATTATTAGAAAATGGAAGACATACAAGACCACTGATAATCTCCCTCGATCTGGGGCTCCACGCAATATCTCACCCTGTGGGGTCAAAATGATCACAAGAACGGTGGGCAAAAATCCCAGAACCACACAGGGGGACCTAGTCAATGACCTGCAGAGAGCTGGGACCAAAGTAACAAACAAAGAGGAATGGGCCAAAATACCAGCAACAGTGTGTGAAAACCTTGTGAAGACTTACAGAAAACGTTTGACCTAGAGGTCAAACGTTGTTATATACCCTTTGTTGGCCGTGACAGAGCTGTCACGGCCAACAAAGGGTATATAACAAAGTATTGAGATTCATTTTTGTTATTGACCAAATACTTATTTTCCACCATAATTTGCAAATAAATTCTTTAAAAATCAGACAATGTGATTTTCTGTATTTATTTTTCTCATTTTGTCTCTCATAGTTGAGGTATACCTAGGATGACAATTACAGGCCTCTCTCATCTTTTTAAGTGGGAGAACTTGCACAATTGGTGGCTGACTAAATACTTTTTTGCCCCACTGTATGTGGAGATAAACTGTCCCCACAAGTATCCAGCCTGCATTCAAGGATGTAAGTAAATCATCAATGAGTGAAGATCACGTCTGACTGAGAAGTAATGATTGCCAAAATATTACTTAGATTTCAATCTATTTACTTTTCTAAAAAGGGCTCAGCCGATAATCCCATATCAGCACACACAACTGTTCATCAACTGTGATGTAACTAGTATTTGAACATGAGGGTCATCTTTATCAGACAAATCTAGCCAAGGTGTTTTTATTGAAGACTACAGGAACTGTTTTATTAGTTCTCCAGCAAAGACGTGTGTGAGAATGCATTATCCCTGAGACATGAAAGGAATGGTACACCAGATGGTTAAAAGTCAGCAGACACAGAGAAAAAGGGAGGGGGGGAGGGTACCATCACAGCCACCTCACGTTATGTGTTAGAGCCATGTAAGAGGGAAAGGATTGGTTTCTTGAACGATGTGTGCCTGTGGCGCATTCCTGCCCAGCTTTGTGAATGCATCAACATAAATTGAGGCAAGGAATAAAAGCTGTGTCACTGTGCTGAGGCGGCGTTGTGTTACTGCCTGTTTAATATATGTTACAACAAAAGGGATGACAGGTTGTTGCCTTTGATCTGCGTAACTTCTCTGCTCTGTTCCTCAGCCAAAATATTAGCTGACAAGGCGATGTATACTGCATGGTTTTGATTCTATCCTGACATGAACGCATACATTTACAGCTTGTTTGTGAGCATATGCATGCTCATTAAACTAAAAATGCATGCAATATCTGTGTGTTAATGCTGTATATGGACAGGCATGTAGAACCATCTAATGATCCCCACTCTGATAAACCATGCTAATATGCAACAATGTGTGCACAACATGCACACAGATATCCAGTGCATTAAAAAAGCATGAGAAAATTCACTCAAGATTTGGTTCTTCTCATGCATGCACTGCAGTGGCTTGAGAAGACTTCATGTATCTTTAATTATGCAGCACTGGGCCCTGCTTCTCAGTATCAAAGACTCTATCTAGTCCTTACTGTCTCATGTCTTCATGTCACACTCAGTCCCCAAATTATGTTGCTCTCTGCAGACATGGCTAATGTTTTGAACAAATAAACAAGTACATTAAGTGCATTTTCATTTCACATTGAATCCTCAAGAGAGAGAGATCCTTCCACAGCTGCCACATGTGTGGTTTGCAGGGAAAATGTAGCACACTCCAGTCTCTTTTCCAAATGTGGAATTGTAGTGACTTCAACAAGCAAGCCTCCAATTGAGGTTTCCATCCTGGAGAAGTGCAATCACTTATTTGGTAGTATAACCCGATTCTTTCCCAACTCAAAACCACAGGAATGCTGTGTTTGCTTAAAAAAAGATACAAAAACTGCTGTGATGGGAAATGTAGTGAAGAGGTGGGTGGGAGAGGAATTCCTCCCTGTTGTGTCTCTCTGGTGTAGGGAATCATTAAATAACAAATAAGCCATCTATACATCAACAGCAAAGGTGTCAAGATTGTATGACCAAGAAGTCAAAATGGAAATGCCGGTAATGTGCTAAAAATAATATTTAAACTTACAATAATAATACACTGTAAGAGTTTACTTTTAGAGGGAACATTTTCAAGAAGGGAGTGCTTTCCATAGTTATACAAATAAAGGACTATGACATAACATAAGCAGCTATAATTCAGCATAAAAAGCAGCTATGAGGTGGAGCTTTGGGTTAAAGATGAGATTTACAAGCAGAAGTTTTGGGGCTGTACAAATAAAATCGACTTTGATAGAATAGACAGCATTTGACATTTGTGTGATCCACAAGCTGAAAATAATTGCAGCCTAATTATCAAATAACTTTCGTAAGAAGTCTTGACTAATGGAATTATTATATAATTATAGTACAAATATGTTTGTTACTTCAACTATGTAAAATTAATCAGGTCAAATCAATTCAATTGTATATGTAGCCTGTTGGTGTAGAAAAGTTCCTAACACTTCACACATGATTCTTCCCAACACCTAATAGGTCAAATGATAAAACGCCTCCCATGGGCGGATGTAATCCTATTGGTCACTGTTTCTTGCGCCCGCCTTAATTCTCACCGAGAGTTGCACTCTCAATGGTCGATGCACCTGATCGTCATCGTGCGTTCACAGTGGGCGTCTGCAGTGGCTTTTCCGGTCCAAGTCTGATTGGTGGGTTGTGGGTGTTGACGTCACAGCCCTGCCAGCTGATCGGAGTGAGTAGCCGGTTTGAAGAGAGGAGTTGGACGGGAGAGAGACCGGGGAGGGAGCCCCGAGGAGCAGCGAGCAGCGAGCAGCGAGCAGCACGGGGTGGGACCGGCCAACCGGATACTCAGATTGGACCGTTTTTATATTCTCTTTTTTATACGTTTAAACGATAACACCGGAGTGAACGAGACGCAGAAAGCGACCGTCTGGTTAGGGAGAACTTGCAGGCTTTGAATCTCGTCGAAACCTCTGGAACTGTCAGAAAAAAATTGATTGAGAGTTAAGGTGTGGCTGAGGGTTTCTTTAAGGCTTCTGCACGGAAAATTGGTACAAAACCGTCTGTTTCTACTCGAGTGTTCAGTGAGGGCTGAGGCTGTTTTTATATCCCAATGGCTTTATAGATTATATCCAGTCATTTACATCTAGGACGATATTACATAACAAACGTATTGCTATCCTGACGTGCGCACCTTATGCTGTAAATCCATCGCAGTTGAATAATTGGACTATTACGCAGTAAATAAGTAAGTCAAGTGTTACTGCTTGGCCGGTCGTTTTGATTTCATAAGTTAAATGCAACGGACGTGGCAACTTTACAGTAGCCGGTCCTGCAGAATGCCACAAGCAAACTGGGCGTGGGGGAAACGGTCCGAGGAGAGCGTAATAACCATCAAATCTCATACAAGCATGGCACAAATTGCGCATATTTGACATAGTGTAGGCGTTCTTACAAGTGGAGCGGACCAAAGTAAGTGCGACTGTCAAATTCATTTTTGCAAACTTTTTAGCGGAGGTGACATTTGAAGGCCACAGGAGAGGGTGTGCGACGGTGTCATCTCAAAGCCATTTGAATATGTTGTATTAATATTCCAATAATATGTATTGTCAGTCTAAACAAATGATTTTGAAGGTATCGTGTTGATCAGTCGTGGCCTATCTTTTTTTTCTGTTTGTCTATGATACAGTGTATATTACTATACTGGGATGGGGCGGGTGTGTCTTTCCCGAGGAAAACGTTTAGGCGTTTAATAAATCTAAACCCAGCTGAAAAAAGAGTTGGGTCTATATTAGCCTACAGTAGTCTGCTCGACTTTACAAAGAACATCGAGCCGTCGTTCCTCACTCGTTTATACCACAATAACTCAATCATAATTGGGTGCACAGGCAAACTGACCCTGTATAGTCTAATTAAGATAAGCTTTAAGTCGAGTAGATAGGGTGAATTCCTCAAGGCCCCACCCTTTGTAGCGCAGCATGGATGTGGAGAGTTGCCCCCCCCACCACCTCCTCCTCCTCCTCTCTCCCTCCGCGTCATTCATTTCCCCTTTCAAGCTTGTCTTATGCTGTTTTTCCCCTCAGTGTCTCCAGGTGCCCACAGTAGATCTTCTGGTCTTTAAACCAACTTTAGATCACCGCATCAGGATCTACCTTCAGGAATCAACAGAGGTGTAAATTGACTTAGGTAAGGCGTGGTTGTATTTGAGTCAACATGTGGAATGATTACATCTCTATTGTAAGCAAAAAAGGTAGGCACATTTTGGTCTACTTGAGAAGTGTGTGGCATGTTGTATTTGTAATAGTTTTTTTAATTTAGGCTGTTATGTTTCATTGCTCGTCTTCTTTTTTTTTTTTACTGGTGAAGTGATTACTGTGCTGTGCTCATCAACCTGTTGCAAGTTTAGGCAGACCATTTCCTATGTCCTCCTTTTGTATGTATGCTAGTGACACAGGTTATGTAATCTTATAGGCAGCATTCAGGGCCCTCAATGTTTATGTAATCTTGGGTTAAAGATGTCAACATTAGGAAGGCAATGGGTTTAAATATAACAACTTATCAAAGCTCAGGTTCCAAAGCTCAGAAAATGGCGTTGAGTCTGGGTGTGATTCATCTGCTGAGCTGAAACTCCGCGTCCTCTCATTCTGTTTAGCAATCAGTGGGTTTTTTCCACTTGCATTCCTTCTACGTCAGCTTAGACCTTTTCATCTTTTATATTTGGCATAAAGGCTCCTAATGGATAACTTGACCCTTCGCGAATCACAGCCATTTCTGTTGGCAGATGGCTTTCTTCTCCACAGATTGTAGTTGTGAAGGTTTAATAAGAAGTCCCCACTGCTGCTCCTTTTCCGAGGGCCTGCCCAGCATTGACAAGTGTACCTTGTTAAATTGCCAACAATGTCATGTCCTTTCCCCCTGCTTTCCTCCTCCAATTCTGCACAATTAATTAAAGAAAGTATATTTTCAGGCAAGAGATGCTCTGGAAATCCTTATTTGTTGCACAGGACTCATTTTGGCTTCCCCCACTAACTCCCTTTCCTCAAGAGCACCCGGCCAGCTGTAATTATCCCCCTCTTTTGGGTATGAATAGTGAATTATACATGCTACTGCAGGCCGGTCAGAGTCTGGGCCACTGGACACATCTGGATTATCAGGATGTCTCTATTCAAGTGCCCAGGCCCTGCAAATTCTTTATTGAATCAACCTTGGTTATAATAAAGTCGAAACTGCAGCGCACGCAAATGCAGGAAGTGCCGTGTTGGGATTGGTTTCACATATAGGAATGTGTCAATATATATCTACAATGCCTCATTGACTGTGGTCACAATGACACATTATGATGGATAAAAGACAAAAAGGATGTGAACATTTCAGTCCAAGAAAACGGCATTAAATAGGGGCGAGGTTAGAAGTTCACATCATTGTCACGTCCAGTATAAAGGAACTGAATCTGCAGCCTAGCTGCCTGCAAACAGGAGTAACTACAGTGGATCTGTGAAGAATTTAAAGATTTTATAAAGTCAGCTGCTGTTTGTCGACACCCCAATTCACTACAAAGCCATTCTCCTGATATAAATGTAAAGTATAGTGTACCAATCTTTACAGTTAAGAAGTAGCTCCCCCTTAAGCTCTTATCCACCCTCTCCTTCTCCCCTTTGCCATCTTGTGTGAGTGTTTGCTTTGTCTGAGCTAGATTGTTTAGCCACATTGAATTGACCTATGTCTGCTAAAATGTGTGTGTGTGTGTGTGGTAAGCCGGCACAGTCATTATCTCTGCACGGCTAGATGTGATTAATACAGGCGTCCAGTAGTGACGTATATTGCGCCACTCCCCAGAAACACACAGAAAGGACATGTAAGAGGGGAAAGATTGGGATCTGGCGTTTGTGCCAGCAATGTGTGTCCCTGTGCCCTATAATCTAAAGAGTTAAATGTAAAATCATGTGGCAGTCGTTTTATTTGTATTGCATGTGAATGCTTGTATCTTTGTGTGTGTTTTAGAGTGTTTGCCATCTTTTATGCGAATATTTGTATATGTTAAAGTGGGAAAATCGGGAATGGTTTATTCTCACTAACAGGCCTTTTAGTTAATTTAGTCAAAATACCTACAGAAAGATCTGGAATCCATTTACCCCGTCAGAGTCTCTAACATTGATCAGAGCCATAAAGTGTGTTATTTGATGAGTCACTCCTCTGCTAATTTAAGCTTATGAATGAGAATGAATCCGAGCAGTACTGAGCATTGAATGCTATTGATGGCCGATCAAAGAGGGGAGGATCTGCGGTGGAAATGCGGTAGCTGCAGTGAGGTTGCACATTTTTATGGCCACACCCAGACAGCATAGAGAGCGATAACCTTGTCTAGCCTAGGCTAATTTTACGTGCTTACATTTAGTACAGCATTGATTGTAAATGTTGCTTTTAATGTCCATGGTTAGGTTGAAAGAGGTTAGCAACTATAGAAATGGTAGGATGGTTAAAGGGTGTGTGTCTGAGTCTGTTTAAGACAGGCAGTGCTCCTTGGCAGGTGTTGGCGTGCTGTACGAAGGTGTGTGTATGGTATCATCTGATGAAGAGACAGATGTACTCTGTGTTTTCATGTGCACACATGCACAGGACCAGTATGTGTGGGTGTATGCACGATGGAAAGGCCTAAAATGTAGTGGTTGGTGATGCAGCACTAACAGTATTCCAACTGTGTCCCAGATTAAATTGTAACTGCCTCATATGGAGAGATATTCCCACTACTCCTCAGAAGGGCTGTTTGAGGTATACCAGGCCAGCGCCATACGCATATGTAAAACACATGTTGCACTTTGCGTGCCTGCCCACTGGAAAAGTTATCTTCTGCAATAAAAATGTAAAACTTCACACAGAGCCAGAGGTAAAGCCTGAGGGAACAGACATACAGAGCACAGCCGCCTGTGTGTAAGGACAAAGAGCTAAATGAAACGTTGTTTTAGGCTCAGCATGGACCTTAAGTTCTGAGTTTCAGTTCAAGTCTCATACATGCACAGGCTGAACTAACTAAAGCTGTGTGAAGATTTTTTTTTTAATTCTGAAGCATTGCTGTGGGACGCTCAGTTTTTGGCTGGTCCCTGCAGGGCCGGTGGTGAGGAGCGGTGGGCCTCTCAGCAGACCGGCTGGAATGTGGACCATATGTAGCAGGCATCCCAGGAATGTAACTCGGCCTTGCTGAACTGACCAACCTAAAGACACAGAGAGCTGAGCCGGTTGAGGAGGAGAGAAAGGGATCTTGCGAAGGGAGAGCAAGGAAGTAATATAAAAGGATAAAATACGTAGATCACAGATGGGAAAAGTGAGATGGAGGAAAATGAAAGTCCGGGAGGCTGTTAAAGAGAGAAGTATGAAGCACATGGAGATGAATGGAAGAAAGATGGAAGGAAGAATAATGGGTGATAGTGATAGGCAATGGACAGGTGAAAAAGGACACTTTGGTACATTCCTTTTGTAGTAACTTCAGCAGGATACTGCAACAGGTCTTTTTGTGAATATAAGATAGCACCTACAGTATAGTTTGAACTACATATCAGCATATTATCCAAGTATACTCATGCAGCACCGTCTCTTTCCATGACGTCTACTGATAAAAAGGAACTTTAGTCAAATGAGAGAAATGCATATGCAACAATTCTGATAATCAATTATTTGTCAGGGTTAGTTCTTAACCCTCAAGTTATTTAATAAAGAATAATTGACCAGAGAACTAAGGAACTTAAAAATGCAATGCATGAAAATATCAGGACATGAGTGTCTTAAAATAAATAGCATTTATATTTAAGATGGCTGATTTTACTGTGGCTATGCGTCAGTATTTCCATGTGTTTATCTACTCTCTTTATTCAATGAGTAAATCTGTTGGATTCTTATGTCATGTTGCATCTAATGTATTCAGTTCAAACGTTCAAACCTGTACAATTTAATTGAGGATATTTAATAGGGCGTGGCCTCTGGATGAGATGTGGATCAGTATTATGTGTCAGACCTCGGTGTTCTTCCAGCTCAGTAACTCGGGGTGAATGTCTGTCTCGTCTCTGTTAGCTTAGCACACTGTACTCTCAGGCCATCTGGGCACAGCTCGGGCCAGAACGGCAGGATACACACTCACTCACAGATACACACATTTACAAACGCATTTCATTTTAGTCTAACATACCCCCGCCATTTCCCTTACACACACACATACTGTTCAGTGGACTGTGATAAGCCTGTGGTTGACTTACAGTTGACCTTTGCTTGGCACAGTTTTATTTGACCAAGCAAACTATCATTTCATCTTGTCTCAGTGCAATAGATGAGATGTTCTTGATCATCCTCTATCCAATTAGAAACCAGGAACCAATAAAGCAAATAGAAGTGAGTAAAGTTTGAAGTCTACATAAGGAGAAGGTCGAGTGGGTGTGTGTTTGGGTAAAATCAAAAGGGTGGGTGGTAAATAATAACTGCCTCTAAATGACCATTCAACTTGACAGAAAGGCAAGTAGTCAACCAGTGGTTTGCTTTAAAACTAAATGATCTTTCGTAAACAAAATGAAATTGGTCAGCAAGGAGATGATAGTGTGTTTTAGCCTTCCATGTCTTCTTCTCCTTCACTGTAAGGAGGCTACGTGCAGTGAAGGATGATACTGAGGAGATCCTCGGGATTCGTACCACGCATGGGCAGCTGCCACTTCTTATTCATATGCCCTACAGGCATTTCCTGTCTCTCAGCACCCTAACTAAGCTGCTAGTTTGGAGGAGGGACAAAGGATATACATACAGAAAGAGAGGGGGAGAGAGGGAGGATGCATTTGCAGGGACTACAAGGGCAGTGCGAGGGATGGACACTAACAGATACATAGAGGGAGACAATGTGCTCTTTGACACACTTCTTCCAGTGGTAGGAAGGGAGATGACGGGCGAAGGAAGCACACAAATCTTTTCTTTATGTTGGGCCTCTTTTCCCAGTGTTCACACCCCTACTTCCACCCCTCTGTCTCTGTATCTCACTGTCTCAGGAGCCCTCCGGCCCCCTCCTTTTCAGTTATATTTTCCATAGACACACACACACTTAGAGAGTCATGCTATGTCATTGTCTCATGTATGCATGGTGGGAACACCATGATCAGGTTGTCTGATTCTCACTTGATGACATCAAAAAAGCAACACACCAGCCTCCCCCTTTC